TGAAGTGAACAATTTAGTGCATTCACAATGTTGTGCAACCACTACCTCTATGTAGTTCTAGAACATTCTCCCCACCCCAGAAAAGCACTCCACACCCATTCAGTAGTCACTGCCCAGTCCCCCTCCCCCAGCCCCTGGTAACTGCTGATCTGTTTCTGTGGATTTGCAGATTCTGGATATTTCATAAAAGACGAATTCCAGGGGCACCCGGGGGGCTCAGTGGGTTAAGCGTCCAACTTGATTTCGGCTCAGGTCATGATCTCATGGGATCGAGCCATGCATTGGACTCTGTGCTGACAGCATGGAGCCTGCTTGGGATTCATTCTCTCTCCCTCTCTCGGTGCCCCCTCCCCACTCGCGTGTGTGTGGCTCCTTGTGACTCTCAAAACAAATAAATAAACATTAAAAAAAGAGGAATTCTGCACTACATGGCCTTCTGCATCTGCCCTCTTTCACTCGGCAAGCTTTCCACGTCCATCCGCTGGGCAGCCTGTGTGAGCACTTCCTTTTCAGAGCTGAGTCTCATTTCATTGTGTGGAGACACCGCTTTTGTTTGTCTGTTCAAACCTCTGGGTTGAGTCTACCTTTTGGCTGTGGTGAGTAGCACTGCCCAGAACACGTGCCTATGCGGACACGTGTTTTCGTTTCTCTGGGGTGTGTATCTAGGAGTAGAATCCCCGGGTGACACGGTAACTCCAGGTTCCTGAGAAGCACCGGGATTTTCCGCAGCAGCCGCAAAGTTTTGTGTCCCTCCGGCCGTGGACCGGGGCTCCGCTCTCTCCACATCCTGGACGGCACTGGCCGCATCCTGTGTTGCTGGTTCTGGCTGGTCCAGGGGGTGTGGAGTGGTATCTCGCTGGGGTTTTGATTCGTATTTTCCTAACAGTTAACGACGCTGAGCATCTTTCTGCGTGCTTGCTGGCCATCCGTGTACCTCCTTTGGGAGAATGCCTATTCAAGGTCTTTGCCCATTTTTGAATCCGGCTGTCTGTCTTTCAGCCGTCGAGTTGTGAGAGCTTTTTTACGTGTTCTGGATATTAAACCCTTATCAGGTATATGTGATCTGCAAACATTTTCTCCAGAAACTTTTTCTGTGGGTTCTCTTTTTTTAACATACTTGGTAATGTCTTTGATGCACAAACTTTGTTGTTTCATTTATTTATTAAAATTTTAAAACGTTTATTTATTTTTGAGAGAGACAGAGAGAATGGGGGAGGGGCAGAGAGAGAGGGAGACACGGAATCTCAAGCAGCCTCCAGGCTCTGAGCTGTCAGTATAGAGCCTGATGCGGGGCTTGAACTCACGGACTGTGGGATCGTGACCTGAGCCAAAGTCAGACTGAGCCACCCAGGTGGCGTCTCCGCGCCATTTGTTGAAAGACCGTTTTCCCCACGAGGTGGTTCCGTCGCCCTGTTGAAAGGCAGTTGCCGTAGATGTTCGAGTCCACTTCCGGGCTCTCCGTCCCATGGTCTGGAGGCCCGCAGTTTGGATCACTGGAGCTTTGTGGTGAGTTTTGAAAAGGGAATACCGGTCCTCCACCTTGTCGTTTTTCATGATCGTCCTGGCTCTTTGGGGCCCCTCGCGATTCTACGCGCATTTGAGGGTTGGTCTTCCCGGTTGGGCAAAAAGGCGACTGGGACTTTGATAGGGATCGCCCCGAATCCAGATCGCCGTGGGGGGGGTGGTGGTGGTGGTGGTGGTGTTGCCGCCTCCCACGCGGGGCCTTCGTACCCTTGGGCGCAGAGCGACTCTGTTGCGGTCACCTCTGCCTCCGGCGATGTGCCGTGGTCCTCGGCGTGTGAGCCTTCTATCTCCTCGGTCAGATTTATTGCAGGACATCTCCTATCTCCTATCTTCTATCCTCCTATTGCAGGGGTTCTGTTCTGGACGCTACCGGGTTGGCTTTTTCACTCCTTTCCCGGCTGCTCCTTAGTCGCTGTGTCATTTGCTCCTCCCTCAGCCCAAAAAAGTGCTGGGAAATGGCAAAAAGGAAAAACAGATCCACATGGGTTCCGCTCTGCCTTCAGGTGTGGTTGTTGCTGGCCTCTGCCCTCTTCCCCCCCTCCCCTCCGGGGGGGGGGGGGGGGGGGTGTGGGGGGGGGCGGGGCTGAGGTCTCAGGGAACCAGGGGGGCCCCGTGCACGGCTGGGCCTCCCGGGTGGCTGGAAGGACCCGGTCTGGGCCCTCCAGGGAGGGGAAAGGCCCCAGGGTGTCTGTCCTGACGGCAGGGTCACAGCACGATGCTGGGGACAGGCTCTGGGCCTGGCCCTTCCGTGTCCCACCCCAGCCCCTCCCCCCCACCAGAGTGGGGGCCGCTCTGGGAAGCCCCTGCCTGGACTGGGGCTCTGTGGAGGGCGGTCCCCCTGCTCGCTGTGGACGGTCCACGGGACCGGCCGTCGCCAGCCCTGGCCTGTAATGAATCCCCCCAGACCAGCTCTTCCCACACGCTTCCTGCAGGGCCGGTCATCGCGAGGCCGGAATCGCCGAGGCACGTGGGAATGCACGCACGTACGCACGCACCCGCAGGCAGACCCGCACGCACACGTATGCACGCATGTCATGGCCCCACAGGGACATGTGGCAGCCAGGCGCGACAGCGGGCGAGCCCATGTCTTTGCACCTCCTGCTCGCCCGTGTGCATCGTCAGCACCGAGGTGAGCACAGCCTCGGGGAGGCTCCTCAGATGGCCCTGCGCTTCGGGCCCATAGCTGCCCTGCGTGGTGGCTCCAGGTGACCCTGGAGCAGAGCCTGGCCCAGCAGGACGACCTCACGAGATGTCACTCCCCCAGGAAGCTCTTGTCCCCTCTCCCGGGCTCCAGGGTGCTGCGGGACTGGGCCTGGGGGGCGAGTCACCTGTAGGGTCCTGGCGCACCTCTCTCCCCCCTTCCCCCCCCCCCCCCCCCCGCGGCCATCTCCCACCCCGCGCGTCCATCTTTCATTTTTATGGGCACTCGGTTTGCATTCAAGTCCCGGAGACAGAAATACTGATGTTGATAGGAAAATATTACTTTCCCTGCGGAAGCACAGGCGCAGGAAGGCTGGGTATCCTTCTTGTTTAAAACAAACGTCACCCGGTTGGTTCAGGAACTGCGTTGCTCAGACCCCCGCGTTTCCATGGTGACGGCTGCCCTCCCCACCTGCAGCAGGCTGGCGAGCAGGCGCTGCGCTCTGGGTCCAGCCTCCGCCAGCGGGTACAGAGGGGCGCAGCCACGCCTGGGGGTCCTGGGGGCAGGCTCGGGGCTCAATGCACCTTTCCACCCCTTCCCCCCACCGAGAGCAGGGCAGACGTCTCCCTTCCCATCCCAGCGGCCACCTTGGCTGAGGACCCCTTGTATTTCGGGGGGCTCTGCCTGGTGGGGGTCTTTGCCCCGAGTCTTGTAGAAAGAGGGAGTGGTCAGCAGATCAAAGCCCCTTAAGGATGTCCGTGTCCTACTCTGGGAGCCGTGACTCCAGGCCATGGCGGCCAAAGGGATGCTGCAGATCGCGGTGAGGCCGGGCGGCAGTCGCCTGTGACCTGGGGGGACTGTCACCCAGGGCCCTTAAAAGTGGAAGAGGGGACAGAGTCGGCGTCAGAGCCATGTGACCCAAGAAGTTTCTTGAGCCAGGGGCCCAGGCAGATCCCGGAAGCTGGGAAAGGCAGAAAAATGGAACGTCCCCAGGCTCCTCCGGAAGGAGCCTTGCTCACCCCTTGGTTTTAGCCCCGGGAGGGGCCTGGGCCCCCCCAGACCCAAGCAGTGCTTGCGCTTCCGGCGGCACAGGGGTGGTGGTCTGCTGCAGCAGCCACAGGGGGCCGGCACAGGGGTGTCACCAATCTGGGGACCCACAGTACTGTTTCCAAGACCTGGCCCCTACCTTTCCCACGTGCCCCTTGCGGCAGGCCACCTCGGCTGCCGCGAGGACCCTGCCCGGAGCCTCCTGAGCCCACTCCTGCCTTCGCTGGTGCCGGGGCCCCTGCGCTGCTATGGTGCGGACGTTCCTTCCAGAACAGGGACCCACACAGAACCCCCCGGAGCCCCTCACCTCGGCAGAACCAACCAGTGCTTAGCGGGCGGTGACCTCTCCAGGAAGACCCTCAGCGGGCAGTGATGGTGATCTTGCGTCTCGGGAGTCACGCGGCCCCTTGTCCGTGCGGGCCACAGCAGGGCTGGTGGCTCTGCCAGCCGCGGGGGTGACAGTGCACAGGCACGTCCCTCGCTGCACCCCGCGCATCCATCGTCCCCATCGTTCCCCCTTTCGGGGCTGGTGCGCGAAGCTCACTAGGACCTTAGATGCACCCCGGCCCCACGCAGCCCCGCCCCCTTGGTGGAGTGAAGGTCAAGAGGCCTTGGGGTCAGGATGCCTGAGTTGCGTCCTTCCTCAGTTCCTGCCCCCACCCAATGGGCGTGGCTTTGGTGAGTTACTTAATTCTTGGGCCCCCACTTGCTGTCCCCAGGGGGTGACAAGAGCCTGTCCCTAACTGGTGTCCAGGAGGCCAGACCCGTGAGGTGTGAGGTAGATTGAGTGTCGGGAACCACTTGCTCCCACTCGCTCTGTGGCCCTGCTGACTCGCTTCTTCAGGGACACCCGCCCCCAGGATCCAGGCCCCCACGTGGTGGGCCGTGCCATCGCGGGGGGGGGGGGGCGCGCAGGCCCAGGCCCGGGGAAGGACAAACTGTGTCCGCCTCCGGCCGCAGGGCGGCGAGTTGTGTCGTTTAACCACGGCGGCAGGAAGGGGCAGCGGGGGCCCCTGTGGGCCTGGGCTCGTCCCCCTCCGAGCAGAGTGGCTCTTCCCGCGCGCAGGCGGGAGCCCACTCGCGGGGCGGCTCTGAGAGGAGCTGAGGCACCGGCGGGGCCGAACCAAGGGGGAGAGGCCCCGCCCCACCGCGCAGACCCCACCCCCGCCCCGCCAGCCCGCCGCAGGCCCCGCCCCCTCCCGAGACAGCCCGCCCCGCCCCCGCAGGCCCCAGACGGCCGGCCCCAGCCCCGCCCCGCCCCCCCCCCCAAGCTACAAGGCCGCAGCAGTCACCTCTGCACTTGTTTATTGTCATGAACAGTTGTCGTTTGCTCTTTCACTCCGCAATTCTCATTTGGTAAAATAAATAGAGATAAACGAACTTTCAGGGCGTGCTCCGTGGAGCCCCGGTTAACTCCATGATTGGATTTTCGCTTCAGACCCGGGATGGCCCAGCGGGCCGCGGCGCGGCGGTTCTGAGAGGGGGCACAGGAGGCACCACATCCACCCGGGGGGTCAGCTGCCGGGCGGGCGCGGACCCTGTCCCGGAGCCGGCTCCCGGGGCACACCGGCATCCCGCGGCCGCAGAGCCCGGGCAGCGCCGTCCCCGGAAGGCGCCCCTGGGTAGGGCACTAAACTTCCGTCACCGCCGGGACGCACATTCCCGTCATGGCCTCTTATTGGCAGAATTAGTTAAGCCAGCTCACTGCTCTATCTGAATAATCTTGATTCCCAAGGAAAAATGGAAAAAAATGCTTTTCAGAATATCATCATTGTGGTTTTGTTTTACAAGCGCTGTTTGTAATCGCTTAGCACGTTCCCTGTTGTCCTTCTTGGGGCTAAACGGTCCCCGTGGCTCCGAGGTGGTGCCCGGATACGGGCAGACACACGCGCACACCTGTGTGCGGACATGCGCAGATGCCCTGCCACGTGCTAACGCAATCACCGAGCAACTTTTCTGCTTTACTCACTGCAAGACATGAACTTCGCTCGCACCAGCAAGTGGCGGCAAAGGCGGTCCACCGTTCACCCACAGGCAGCGGGGCCCCAGCTGCCTCCGCCCCCGGGCAGGCACGTGCTGCGCCGGGCGAGGAGGCCGCGGGGCCACACAAGTGCATACTCCGTGTTGGTTCCAGTGTGGAGACCACGGGCCCTGCACGTGCATGTACACCCGTATGGGGCGGCCACAGGCCTGAGCGGCTGTCCCTGCCCCTGCCCCTGCCTGGGGAGCAGCAGCAGCACTTGAGAGGGGCAGGCCCTGTGGCCTAAGGGTGGTGGCCAAATCGCCAAGGACTGGCCACACATGTCGAAAGCCACAGGCCCCTCCTGCTAGCGGGTCTGTGGCGATTGGGGCTTGTGCAGGGAAGGTGGGCTGTGTGGGGGAGGGGCAGCGCCGGCCCTCCTACGGTCTGGCCACGAAGGGCCCCCGGGGGCAAGGACTGGCGGTTGGCAGGAGGCTTGGGCTGTCTCCTTGTGTGCGTGTGGGCTCCGTCTCTTGAATCTCCCGCCTCTCCCAGCCCGCTTGGAAACCCCCCAGGAGCGCGAGTGCAGAAAACGGGCCGGCTGGCTTGCAGCCAGGGGAATGCGGCCCAGGCTGGCTCACGGCCAGGCAGCAACCCAGCGACCTACGTGAGCCCCAGCGCTGGCCCGTCCGCCAGGGTGGCTGAGCCCTGGGGAACGGCTTCTGTCTCGGAGCTTCCGTGGAGCCAGTGCTCGGGTCCCTCGCCAAGTAGAACGAGTGTGTTTCCCCCTTTAAAAATCTCAGAAGCAAAACAGGACGGGAAGGGTGCGGGGACGTTTGCGGCTGTCCCCGGGCTGTCACACGGCAGGACTCTACCAGAGCCCCCTTCCCTGGGCTCCTGGGCATGACAGCGACCACAGACGCACAGACAGACAGCGAGGGGCCTCCCGGAGCCCTCGGCAGCAGGTCAGGACCAGCGTGGAGGGTGGCGCGGCGGGTCCACTATGTACACGGAGGCCTGGCAGGAGGGGCGCCCGCTATCTGGCCCGCTTCTCCACCGAGTACACGGAGATGTAGTAGTCGTTGCTGCCCACGGCCAGGTGAGGCTGTGGAGGAGAGCAGGGCAGGTGAGCGGGCGCCATGGGCCTTCTTCGTCCGCACCCCACCGCGGCTCTCGGCATGGGCCCCGCGACCCGAAGCAGGGACCCTCGGGCTCCCCACGGCTCCCCGCGGGGACGGTTCCGGGGGCCAGAGCCCCGCACCTCATGAGGGCTGTTGGCAGAAACCACAGACTAGGGGAACGATCTGGGCTGCTCCTCCCTGAGGAGCACAGGCTGGGCAGGGTGCCCCGGCCCCCCCTCACTGCAAGGTTTCTCCAGGGCTGGTGTCAGTGCAGGGGCCAAAGGTGAGGATGGGAAGGGCAGGGCGGTTTCCTGTGCGTGTAGCCCACGATTCCCTGCTTCATGGGGGAACCCGGTGCTGCTTCTGGAGGCAGTTTGGGGGCCATGACCCCCCGAGACCCGAGGACCCAAGAAGATCTGGTTTCGTGCCATTCTCAGACACGGGGAGGGGGAGGCCTGGGGCGCCCTGCGGGCTGATTGTGGGGCGGGGCCAGGCTGTAGCCCCACCTGCCTGTCCCGAGGTCCCCCGTCCCTCCCGTGTCGCCTCCAGTCCCCCCCTGCTATTCCTGCAGGACCCTCCGTATTGCCCTGTGTCCCTGCGTCCCCCTGACCCCTCCCACGGGGCCCCCGGCCCCAGTGTGCAGATACAGACCCAGTGCGGGTGGAAGGCCAGGCAGCTGATGGCCCCGACGCGCTGGCCCATAAACCCGTCGTAGTATTTGATGTTGTTGATGAGCTCCCCGTTCCCGCTGTAGATGGCCGTGAACTGGTTCATGGAGCCGCTGCACACAAGAAGGTCTGGCGTTAAGCCTTCCGGCTGGGGTGGTGGCCCAGAGGCGAGGCGGAGGCGGGCCTCGGTGCAGGTGGGGAGGCAGACGCGGCCACAGGGGAGGTGGCCCTCTCTCTTCCTACATCGGCCCCGTCCCAGACACGGGGCTGACCTGCCCGCCATCACCCCGGCACGAGGGGCCCCACAATCATGTGGCTCCGGCGTGCTCTCCTTCCCAGGCAAGAGGGGGCGTAGCGCCGGCTGTTTGCACGGAGGCCCGAGGCCGGCTCTGGGTGCTCTGAGATGGTCTGGGCAGGAAAGGGCCCTCATTCTCTCTTAGCTTGGCACCTACCAGGCGATCAGGTTTGCCTGGGGGTGGATGTCGAGGGCCGTGAGCCCCTTCACGATCTGAAGGACGTTCACAGACTCTGGCATCCGAGGATCGAAGAAGCGCACGTCTCCGTTGACACTGTTGGGAAAGGGTCACTCTGGTAAGGCCGGGGCGGGCCAGCCCCCGAGGCAGAGCACACGCCCACCCCACCCCACTGGCCTTCACGACCGGGACTGGCGCCAAGCCCCCCACCCCCCCCCCCACCCCAGACTCCTCTCCGCGGCCACGAAGGGCTCTGCCTCTAAGGCAGGAAGTAGCAGTAAGTGAAGACACGGGGGAGGACGTGAGTTATTGGTTTCATTTCTAGTCCCGGAGATTAGATTCCGTGCAGCCAGGGATGCAGTTACAGGACGGGGAGGTGGGGGAGGAGGCCGGGAGGCCGCACGTCACCCCTGGAGGCCACCTTTCCTGCCCTTGGTCTCTGGTGGGCGTCGTTCTAAGAGCTATGTTCTGTTTTTATATTACAAACAAGGGAAACCGCATCTCTTTGAAGAAACGGTGTCTTTGTAGCAGTAAATTACGTTTTGTTGTCCCTTAACAGGCAAATAAATATTCGCTGCTCTCAGTACAGGACTTAGCGGGCGGCAGAAACGGATTTATGGGTAGCCGATGACTCGACGCGGATATCCCACAGCCAAGGGCTGGCAGGTGCCCGCCCCTCTCCCTCGCACACCCCGCAAGCCTCCACCGAGCAAGCCTCCTGCTGCCAGTGGGAGGGACCCGTGTGTCCCTGCCCTCCCGCTGCCCCTGACCTTTCTGGCCAGTCCCAGAGTGGAGGTTAATTACTGCCCTGCCATGCCATCCTTTCCCGGCTGTTTAAATACCACGGACATATTTTAAATGGAGGAGAAAATAAGGTTTTCACAGCAGAATGTCTCATAAATATTCCCTGCTTGTTACCTCACGCTCATGATGTGGCCCTCGGGGTGCTTCTGGAGGTAGGCCTTCACCACCCAGGCCGTGTGCTCCCGGTACGTCATGACGCGGCTGGAGGGAGGACGATGGGGTCAGAGCCCGGGGGGCCGCCTAGGCCGGGGAGGGGGCTGCCGGCAGGGGTGGGGAGGGGGGCAGCGGTGCCCGTTCACTGCCCACTGCAGGACAGGAGCGGGAGCTGAGAAGCCAAGGGCGCGACTTCATTTTGAGCAGAGAGAAACCGCGGGTTTATTCACGGCTGTCAGGATCTGCCGTGCGCCAGGGTCAGTCGCCCCACCCACCATTCACCGTGATGTCGGGACGCGGTCGGGACGCGGTCGGGGCTCCCCCCCCCCCCCCCCCCGGGGACCATGGCACGGCTGCCCCGGAGCTCCCCGGACAGGGCACCACGCTTAGCACTGGCCACCCCGAGACTCTGGGGGTCGGGAATGAGGACCCCAACTGAGAAGCTATCGAAACACAGCCCTGGTGGGCAGGACGCACAGGGCTCACGGTGAGCCCCAGGTCACAGGTGTGGTGCACGGACGGCCCCGGGTCACCGGCCTCAGCGGCAGGGCCACTCCACGACCCTCGGCTCTTTTGAGGCCAATTTGCCAGTTTAGTGCCTGCCCGGTAGCTGTTTAACACGACGGCCTGACGGAGGTGTGACTCACGTGCCCCCTTCGAAAGCGCACAGTTAGTGGGTTCGGGGTGGTCACTTCGGCCGCCCTCCCCCCCCCCCCCGCCACGATGGCTGCTTCCTGCAGTGGTGCCCGTTCTCCGGGGGACCCTCTGCAGAGGTGCCGCTGAGCCTCGGGTCTGTGCTGGGAGGCCCCACCTGACGTGGCCCGGCTCGCCCCAGTACCCGCCTCTGCGGCAAACGGCCCACCTGGTAGCTGGTCTCACGGGGCTCCCCTGGCCCCAGGGCCACGCACCTGCCCACCTGCCGCCACTCCGTCACCCCTGGAGGCCGGCCCAGGTTCTGGGGGCAAGGTGGGTGTGAATAAGCACATCGTGCTGGGGTCCCCAGGAGACTGTGCTGCCGTTTGCCAGCGTGGGGCTCGGGCGAGTGACTGCCGCCTGTACCTCAGCTCCTGCCCACCAGCCCGGCCCGACCTGGCCCTCAGCCTGGGACTGAGTGGCGGTCCCTGGGGCAGTCACGGCCACGCAGGTGGCTCAGTGCTGCACGGTGCCCTTGTGGACGCTCCCTGACAGTCTCCCTGGCCACGCACCTCACGCAGGAGGGAGACCGAGCTCACGGAGGACAGGGCCTCGCCAGGCCCACTCCCCGCTGATTTCCTACTCCGTGTGCCATCGAATGTGGCCCTGTGGGCTTGGGGTGGGGGGGGGGCCTCGTCCCGGCCCCAAAAGGGGGCCACCGGTGCCCCCCGTCGGGGGGTGCTGGTGAGGGGGGGTGGGGGCCGGATTACCATTCACTGAGCGCCATCCTCCGGTCATAAACGCGGATGGAGCCGTCGCCGAGGCCAGCCACGATGAGGGAGCGGTGGGAGTCACAGGACAGGCTTGTCACGCAGCTGTCAGCGCCCGTGGGGATGTCCTGGAGCCAAGCACAGGGCCTGCGGTGAGCCCACCTGCGGCAGCCCGGCACGCCATGTCCTCCCGGGGTCAGGGACCCCCGCCTCCTCCTCCAGCGGGGAAGCCAGCGAAGGCCCACGGAGCCCGAGGGACTGGTGGGGGACCCGGACCGAGTCAGGCCCACACCCACCCGAAAGCCGGTCCCCAGCCGCACACATCTCCGGGAACGGCTCTCGGGGCCAAGCTTTCGAGTGTCTCCCTCTTTCCTAGAGCGGAAGCACGTTTTGGTAGAAAGGGATCCTCCGAATTCGTTCGGGAAAGGGCCCGGGGAGCTCTGCCTCCTCGCCTCTCCTCCCGGCAGCTGTAAATGCTAGAAAAGGCCAGGGGGTGACGAATGCTCGGCAGGAAAGAGAGGGAGACAAAAGGCCGCACAAGAGGGAAAGTGCTCTCCCGTTGTTGGAGGTCTGCTGCCAGTGGGCACACGGGAAGGAAATCCAACATGTACGGGACTGGAATCTGATCCGCTTACAAGGCAACAAGACACCGGATGAGACACACCCAGGTGGCTGAGCTGAAGGCGTGTTCTGGGGGCACAGACTCCTGAGTAAGGGTTGTGAGCATGGGTAGGGGGGCGGTGAGGGGGTCCACGCTGCAACAGGAGGGCCACAGGGGCCCCGGGAAGTAAGTGTGACAAAAGCCAACTGTGCCATCGCAGGACCTGGGCACCGGACAGACAGAGGTCATCTCTACCGGGTGGCCCCCTGGCAGGGACCAATGATGTGGCAGGGCCTCACGGCGGCTCTCTGTCCCTAGCCCGCCCTCCGAGGGCTCGGCGGGAGGCCCAGGGCCGGGCCGGGGAGGCCGGGAGGACAGAGCTCTGGGCCTCAAGCCACAGCCAGCACCACTGCCCAAAGTATCAGTGGCCCTGAGCTGTTTGCGGCCCTTTGCCCCCTGGCCTCTCCGCCAGGATGTCTCGGTCAAAACCAATTCACTACTCGCTCTGTTGATTAAAACAGGAAATAAAAGATGCCTTAAGAAGCACACGGTGGAATAATTCATCGTTCCAATTTAAAATGCTTTCCCCCTGCTGCTTTCTGATATTCCCTAATTTGCATGGATAAAATAATATTTGGAAGTAATTAGGAGCAGCAGAGGCTTAATCATGCTGCCAGGCAGGGTCGGGGTGTCACAGTGGACGTGCATCAAGAGGCAATTAGCCTCTGAAGGCTTGGAGGCGGGCCGCACTCCCTCCCCGCTGGGACCCCTGTTCCTGCCTCTCTGTGAGGAGGGGCCTGTCTGGGGGGGGGGGGGGCGGGGGGCGGGGGTTACCTGTACTTTCATCTCGCGGTCCGTGTCCCAGATTCGGACGATCCGCACGTCCCCCGAGCTCATGAGGAGGCCAGTCTCCTGCTCCCAGTCTACCACCATCCCGGCTCCTGGAGAGACAGAATGTACCGGTGTCACCGCGGGAGCCTGTCCCAGGCGGCCACCTGGCACCAAGGACAGCCACGGCCGGGTCCCCGACCCCACGAGAACTCCAGGCCCCGAGTCTGGGTCGGGCAGCAGTTTGGAGCCCTCTCCAGATCCCCGCTGGGCCCAGGCATCTGCCTGAGGGACAGCACAGTCCGAGGACCGTTTGTCTAAGCTGTCCCAAAGCTTCAGAGCGGGCGCGGAGGCGCTTCTCTCGACCCCGTCAAAGCTCACGGACGCAGCTTCTTGGGGTCGAGCAGACCGGGCCGTGTGTGAGGCCCACGCTGGGACTGCAGTGTTCCTAAAGTTGGCACCTAAACGTCATGGGGGGGGGACCCCAGTTAAAACAAGCTTACATTTTAAACATACAGAAGAGAACACGACAGAAATCTCTGACCCACCCCCCAGATCTAGTGGTTGAGGTGCTCTGCCGTTTCCGCCCTTTTGAAAAGAAGTATAGATGAGAGAGTATAAAAAGAAGCATAAATAAGTAAGATTTTAGACACAGTGCGAGCCTCACTCGCCCACTCTGATGCTGAACTGTCCCAGGTCGAGGGCATCTCCCCGAGCCGGGCTCCGTGCGACCCCCACCCAGGTGCACCTGTCCACGAACTAGGACAGCTTCCATCAACACCACCAACTTCATAAGGGGTATGTTTCCTAGCGACCTCGCTTTCCTGTAATGTTGTCTGTAGAGGACTTATCCCACCCTGTATGTAGGGGTCTGATTAACTCATTTAACGGTTTTTCGCTCTTCCCTGATTCTGGAGACCACGGCTCGAGTGACGACGTCTTCCGCACCCGTGTGCGCTCGGGAGGGTGGCACCCAGGCAGGGGTGCGGCTCCCGTCCTGGGGTTCACTGCCCCCAGCCAAGGCCACATCTGCAGCGTCCGTGGACACCGAGGCTGCCCCACATCCCGCGGTCGCTGGTGTTGGCGGTATTCCTTCTCACTGGGCCGCGTGTGCTGTGATGACACATATTGCGACGCCAGTGTCTTGTTCTGTCACTTACGAGGTAACTTTGTGTTCTTTTGCTCACACGGGAGTCTGGCGTCACATTTGCCAAACTCATTTCCGTGGCGCCGTGGCCCCTTCCTCCCCCGGAATCCCCATTCTCCCCACTCTCAGGCTGGACGACCTAACTCCTCATTCCTTTCTGCTGCGTCTGTTGAGGGTGGCGGACCTCCCGCCAGGCCCTGATGACCCTTTCAAACCCCAACCCTGCTGTGTGCGCACAGGGCTCCCCACCAGGTACCCCCCCCCCCAGCAGCGCTGGGAGGGGGAGCCGTGCCCAGACAGACTTATAACCTCGGACAGACTTATAACCACAGACAATGTGGCTCAGCTGTGGAAATCTTGTAAGTGCCACGGGCTTGTGAAAGAATCTGCAGGGAGAGATGGAATTTGTGGGCACAGAGTTTCCTTCTGGGGGGGGGTGAGAATGTTCTGGAACTAGATGGATGGTGGTTGCACATCATGACTGCACTAAATGCCACAGAATTGAACACTTCAAAATGGTTAATTTTATGTTATGTGAATTTCATCTAAATAATAATTTTAGAAAAGGAAAGAAAAAGAAGAAAAAAAGAAAAGGCAAGCAGGACGCCCCCACCCGGCTCCAGCTTTTGCTCCCCTTGACCAGACGGTCACCTGTCTACACGCGGAGGCAGGGCCCCTGGGCCCTCCTGCCGGGCGTGGTCCACATGCATCATTACTCAAACTCGGCTGTAACCATTCAGGAACCAGTTCAGAGGTCCTGAGAGGGGCTGTGGGCCAGCACCCACTGGGACTCCAGGCGGCCCTGGGAGGGCCAATGGTGGCCGACCGACGTGGCCTGCCTCACCTTTGTCCCAGGAACCGTTCCCACCATGGTCCAGGGTAGGGAGGGAGACGGACCCTGTCCACCTGTGGGCCTTCTCTCTGGAGTCCCTCACATAATGGGGACCGGATGTCCTCATCCAGTGGAGACGCCAGCCTCACGTGATGAAGGTTGGATGGCCGTGCACAACAGGGAGGGACGGCCGGGCAGCAGATCACTTCGCACGGAGGGAGATGGACGAAACAGGACTCAAAAGGAAGCTGGTTCAGGGCCCTGAAGACCCAAGTCTAAATGCGGCTGGACAGTCAGGTGTGGTGTGAGAGAGGGGAGAGGTTGGACGGGCACAAATGGGTCACAGGAGGGAAGGTCTGCCTGTCTTCGTCCAATAGACAACAACATGCCTTCACGCAGCAAGCCTCTGCACGTCCCTGGGACCGACGAGCTGGCAGACCCAGCAATCACACTACGTGGACGCAGCCTTTCAGTGGGAGACACGGAGATGGGGCAGGAGGGCTGGCCCGGGGGAGGCCACGTGACGGGTTCTCCCAGCAGCGGCTCTTCTGACCCAGGCCAATTTGACGCCCACTCCTTTCCTGTGATTCTGAGCTCACTGGCATGGGGGCCCCTGGCTGCCGCCGTCCCCACATGGGAGGGACACTGCCACACTGATGGACAGCTGCGTCGCGCCTCAGTGACGAGCTGTCAGTGCCAACGACAGGGCAGTCGGTCTGGGGACCATCCTCGGAAGGGGCCACCCCCCAGAAGGGATCACCCTTGGAAGGGAGAACCCTCAACCCTCAGAAGGGACCAACTTCTGGAGGGCACTGCCCTGGGGAGGGACCACCCTGGGGGGGGACTATTCTCTGGACGAGACCCACTGGGCGTCACACTGCACTGACAGGCACATTTTCTTCTCACGACACAAGGATCATCTGCACTCCTGGCCGCGCCTGGGCCATTCCAGGACAAAATCCACGGACCAGGCGGCTTGAACAAGACGCTGATTTCTCCAAGTCCTGGAGGCCGGACTTCTGAGGTCAGGGCGCGGGCAGGGTCGGGTCTGGCTGGCAGACAGCAACATTCTCGCATGTCCTCATGTGGCAAGAAGAAAGATGGGGTGTCTCTTCTTACAAGAGCACTGACCCCATCGTGGCCCAACCACCGTGACCTCATCAAGCCCCGATCACTCCCAAAGGCCCCCTTCTCATCCCATCATGTTGGGGCTTAGGGCTCCAGGAAGTGGATTTTGGAGGCCATGCACATTTCTGAGGACAGCGACTTCCCCTGGTTTGATCGGCGGTAACACTGAGCCATGTGTACGAGCCCACACGCCCCTAGAACCCTTCGTTGCATGGCCGGAGCGGGAGGTGATGTAGGGGTGACGTCAGCCAGCACAGGTGTGTGTGACCGCCCCTCCTGGGGAGTCCGCACCTGAGGGCACCCAGAACTGGCCCTGTGCACACCTACACTCAGGCCCCCAGGTCGACGTAGGCCCCGGGTTTTCTGCAACGGCTCCAGCTTTAAGAAGCATTCTTTGTAAAATTTGGAAAATGAAAAGTAACTTGCTTTGTATAGACTCTGTAAGGCTTTTTAAAGAATACGCAAATTCACACGTCCAAAAGCGCATCGGTAGGACCACAAGCCCTGGGCCTTTAGCCGGTAGGCCGTGGCCTTCGGGGAGGGGTGGGGGGAGCACGAGCTGGGTTTGTGTCCCGCCGCCTCTGTGCCCACCTGAAAGCCCAGCTCCCGGCTTCTACCAATGACAGAGCTTAGAGAGTCTGATTACTAGGTTTCCCTCCTGACAGGGAACACGCATCTGGCCGTGTCACAGCCGCGGAGGCTCACGGGCTCCCTGATCCGTGGACCCGCGGGGTGGCCGCTGCTGTGACAGAGAGCACACTGCCTGTGCTTGCAGACGTCCTTGGCCGTCCACCCGGCGCTCTGTGCCAGCCCCGCCGGGCACTGAGAAGCAGTGTAATGAGTGTGTAGGCCAGATGGCATCTGGAACATGGTGCCTGTGCCTCAGCACCATGATCTGGGGCCACGTGGACGGGCGGAGAGGGTCTGCGGTGGGGTGGGCGAACGCAAGGACTGGAGGCCAGAGTCGCAGCTCCCTGCACGGGGAGAGAGAAACGGGCTTGCTCTGTGTCTTTCTGGACGCAGGCCCGGGCTCGAGTGAGGGGGCAGCGGGCAGCTTGCTTCCCGGGCACGTTCTTCCTGGTGGACCCCACGAGTCTGAAGATCTTGCTCTGACTCAGCTGCCTCTCCGAAGACGCCCTCAGATACAGTCGCCTGGGTGCCGACACCACGGGCCTCGCGTTTCCGTCTGGCCGGGCGGCTCCGGGCGGGGCGTCTGCTCGGCCACCCGAGGGCTCTCACCGCGAGGAGAGGATGTGGATCTCGTGAGCTCTGGTTCCTGTTAAACTCTAGCCTCTGTGAAGGCCAAGCACGTTCCGGTTGAAAGTAGCTGGGAGCACGTGGGGCAGCCAGCGGACTAGAAACCCGTGTGCGTGCTGCAGACGGCGGGGTTTTCCCGAGCGCCGGGCACCGCGTCCGGCAGGCAGATCCTTGCGTGTGCAGACGAATCTGACCTCGGGTAGGATGTACAAGTGCCCGGAAGGTGGGAACAGTCATATTCTCTGAACCTGTGACCCTGAGACGCATTTCACAGAGGGACAGCCCTGGATGCGGAGCTCCCACTGCCGAGAAAGCCACCGCCCCTCCTCAACGCGGGTTTCCTGACCTGAAAACCAGGCACCAGGCAGTCCTGCTCCAGAGGCGCCAGAGAGAGTAACGACGGGACAGTTGCACAGGGTGCCTTGTACGCGGGTGCCCGGGGACCCCGGCCAGCCTGCAGGGGGCGTCCCCGTGGGGCCCGGGGACCTAGGCCAGCCTGCAGGGGGCACATCTTTCCACCATCCTGGCTGTGGTGAAGGACCTAAGCTCAGGTTGGTTTGGTAACTTTCACAGAGCAGACGACGGAAGCGAGGCAGAGTAAGGACCCCCAGTGAGGCCCACCCTGTATTACGGTCTGGTTCTTTCTGCGCTGCCAGGCTGACCCTGATGGACACCAGGGAAACAGAAAAAGGCTTATCTGACAACTCAGTTATTTCCTCTCTTTTAAACGGACAGAGTGTCATCGAAATTGGCCTCTGAGACACGGAAAACGGCCAAGCCTCTTGCTGCACATCCAGCTTGCCCCAAGGACGCTTCCTGAGCACTGGCCAGGCGGGGCCCTGGACCCCAGGCGTGGCACACTCCGGTCCCAGAAAAGTGGGAGCAGCCCGGGAGAGGGTGCCTGGCCACCGTGTGGAGTGACAGGATGCCTCACCCGTGCGGGTTGAGGGGGGAGCCCAGCCCAGGACCAGCAGCTGCGCGAGGGCTCTGGGGCCCTCAAGGCTTCTCTCAAGGCCGGGACAAAGCAGGTGCATCAGCACGCCAGCCAGAGAGACCTCTGTGGTGGGTTTTGCACAAAAACAAAACCCAAAAGGATAGGTGTGCGGAGCCCCCAGGGCAAGGGGCCAGTCCTCCGGGCACAGGCGAGAAGCACAGCCCGGTGGCAGGGGGGTCCCCACTCTCCCCGTGGGACACAGGTGCAGAGCCCCCCTCTGGGGTCAGGCCCCCTCTATGGCCCCACAAGCACCTCTTAGACATCGCCGGGTTCAGAGACGCGGGTCGGGCAGCAGAAAACTGGGCTCAGGAAACGCTGCTCAGGAGCAAATGATTTCACCTAAACTTACGTTTCTGATCTGGAAAATGGGCCAAGACCACGTGAGAGCTGCTCTAGGGCTGGGAGAAGATGGGGACATGTTCCCCATTGGTCAGGCTGGCAAGCCACCCTGTCTGAGAAGGGAGCGGGGGCCTCCAGGCCGATGCGCCCTCCAGCCCGCACAGCCTCACGCACAGTGGGGCTGTCACCGGCCCCCTCACGTCTGCCTCCTGTACCAAGGGGGCTGCCCTTCCAGATTCTAGATCCGCCTGTGGTTTCTGGAGGAACAGGGGCCGCCATCAGCGCCCGTTCCCGCACACGCCGAGCGCAGGCTGGCCAGCAGCTCCGGAAGCGGCCGGCGCGAGGCTGCTCTGCCGGCACCGTCCTGGCTTTCGTGGTCCTCGCCCTGCTTGCTTCCTGGCCGCTCCCAGCGGATGAATGTTAAGAGCGAACCAAAGGCCCAGGGCTGGTGTCAGCGTTCACACATGCCAGGCTGGACGGCGTGTTCTTGGCTCTCTGGGGCTGCCGAGGTACAGACAAGCCCGGGCCCTGTCCTGTCCCAGGCTCCGTCCCGCGGCACCGACCCCGACTGACAGCCAAGCAGCTGGACACGACCAGACCAGGTGCCGTCCGGCCCCTCGTCTGCCCCCAGCCCCCAGCCGTGGAAGGCGGTCCTGAGGCTTTCAGAGAAAGTGACCCTGCAGTTTTCCTGAGAAGCTCGAGTACTCTTTCCCAAAGAGCAGAAGCCTGTCTCCTGCTCCGGTTTTTCCTTTCCGGATCTTACACGCAGGGAACGTGTTACCAAAACAGCTCTTCACAGAACACTGAACTGTAAGTCCGTTAGATCTGAAGGGACTTCTCATTCTTAGCGCCTCAGCCCCCAGCGGCCCCAGACCCACGGCCTCGTCTGTCCTCCTGCGGAGGACGGCACCAGACCTTGCAAAGGGCTTCCGGGCACAGGCCGGGAGGCAGGCTCCTTTCCGCCTGACTCTGTAAATCACAGGTCTGGAATCTGCGCTGCCCGGACTCCCGAGGCCCCGTCTCCTCACAAGGCTCCCAAACGGTCAAATTAAGAGAGAAAAATGACTCGTTTAGAGCGTTACACATTTTATGTTTGCTAACCCAGTTTTACAGTTGTGTATCCAAGGGCAGCTGCGTGTGGGTGTTTTGGTAACCATTAAACTTATATGTGGATTTTTCAGATGGAAATAGATGCTATAACAAACTTGTATTAAATTCTGGAAATGATTACTTTTCAAAAGTTTACGTGGAAAAACCAATCTTGATCTGGAACGACTTCTCTGCTCTCATGAAACGTCCTTAAATAAAGCCCACAGGATGGAGTCCCTGCCTTCGGGGTCAGGGGGCCCAGGAGGTGAAACCATGAGGCCTCGGATCCGAGGGAGATTCCTCTCAATGGCTTTCCTTAAGATTTGGTCCCAGAGCCTTATGCAGCTACCTGACTCGACCCATGACCTCTGAGTGCTCGCTGGCTGGTGTTCTTTTGCTCGGGAGAGGATGCGTGGACAGGACAGATAAGCCCTAGCCCTAGCCCCCTCCTGGCCCCAAAGAGCGCCAGGGGCCAGACAACAAATGCCACCACGTGGACCACAGGGGCCAGGCGCCCGCCCCCAGCCAGGGCGGTCACAGGCAAGAGTGAAGGCACTCACCTTCCTGCTTTGGCAGTCAAGATAGACTGGGGCCTTTCGGGCCAGACCTTCCAGGAGGCGAGGATGATGGGTTTGGAGTGAGGGTTAGTTGGCCAGCCAGAGCAGTCAACAGAGCCAAACCATCCAAAAGGTTTGGAAGAACACTCAAAAGGAAGGGTGACAGGTGGGAGTGGCCAAGGCCAAGCACGCCACGGTCCGGAGAAAAAGGGCTGACCTCAACCAAAACGTGACCTGACAAGTGGGAAAACACAACTGCCAGGGTTTTTGGCCCCCTAAAAAGTCTCTCTCGAGGTGGAGAATCGGAAGGAGCTGAGGCACACCGTGAAACCGGGCCGAACGAGCTACTGGAACCTCCAAGTGCCTGAGTGCTTGTAAACGCCGCCGTGACGTCCACCGTGGCCGGGCCAGGAGGGCTCCCGGTGTGGGGAAGGTGCTGTCGGTAGGGCAGGGATGGGGCCGCGGGGAGCACGGGAGGGGGAGCCCGTCCCCGACTCTACGCCAGAACATGTGCACACGTGTGTGCACGCGTGAGCCAGAGGTGCCGTGAAGCTGACGGCGCGCTGACCCTGCGCGTATCTCACAAGACCTTCCATCCTTAGTCACAGACTGAGGAACCAGATGGTGACCTGGCCGCGGGATTCCAGCTGCGGACAGCTGCATGAGGGACTTCCCGGCCAGCAGCTCTCCGGGCACCTGGTCACACCAAGTCTCCTGGGCCTGTGGGCAAGTGCCCCTCCTGTGCCCCACGTGCACGCGTGCTCAGAGGACGGGCCTCGCCCACCCGCTCCGGGGCGGACGCGGCGGGCCGGCACACCTCCTCCTGAACAGACAGCTTGCAGGGCCAGCGGGAGAACCACACGGGGTGGGCACACAGCTTTGAGAGCCGGGGAGAGGGGTTCGGGCCCCTGCCTGGACGGCCCCTGCAGGCCACAGCCAGAACTCTGAAGGGCCCTGCCTGGCGCTGCTGGGGGTGCCCCGGGTGCGCAAGAGTGACTCTTGGCGTCCCCATCCCTTCTCTCCCTTGTCTCCCTGGGGTCTCTGCCCCGGGAGCTCCCGGGTGGCTGCGGGCGGGAGACAAGCTTTTGCTCTAATCCCGGAACACCGAGGCAGAAGCGAGAGGCCCGGTGACACACAAGTGGCCGTGTTGGGCCTTGGCGGTGGTGGGGGGTGGGGGGCGATACGGATGACTGTTTTATTCCTCAGATAATTAAAGCTCAGCGACGTTTTAAAGCAGTCCACAAGGAGACGTCCGCCCTGGAGCTGGAGCTGGCGCTGGGCGGCCCCTCCCTCACGACGTCACCTCCCTGGGAAGCAACTCGCCAGGACGGGCGCTCTCACAGAGGGGAGGGGAGCCACACAGACGCCCGGCCGTGAAGAGAGCGGCCACACGACAACCGGACACAGACGGGGCCACGTGGGGGCGGACACAGTCGCAGCCAGGCCGGACCGGGAGCACAGGGCAGGGGACTAAGCTGCTTTCACTGTCAGCTGACAGACCGTGGCCCCCGCGGCTTGGCGTCTCTGGAACCCAGCTGTGCCAGACGGTCCACGTGCCACGGCAGCACGGTGAGCCCCCGAGGGACCGGTGTGCGGCGGCAGCTGTGTCCCCCCACCTGGGTGAGCGTCCGCGGCCTCCGCCGTCCGGACAGACGTGCCCGCGTGCCACGGCGCTCACCCCCCGAAGGGAGCTCGCCTGGGCACGGGGCACGGCCCCCAGGCCTTTCCCGCAGCGCCGGCTGCAAGCCCGGAACGAGGGTGCGGGCAGGTGCGCCCACAGCCAGGGAGCCCTTCGGGGGGCCGCGTCTCCTGACCTGCAAGTGCTCCAGGGCAGCCGGGGGAGAGCGGCGGCTCACAGTTGAGGCGGCCGGTGGGGAGCCACCGCCAGGGGGAGGCGGGCGGGCAGGCGGGCAGTGAGGGGCCACGCCGCTCCCGGGAGCACCCACCTCTGGTGGTGGGCAGCATGTCTGAGAGCCCCTGCCAAGCGGTCACCATCTCTGGGTTCTTCTCCAAATCCGCGAAGTTCTTCCAGACTCTGATGGCGCCGTCATCTTGGGGAGAGAAGTGGGGGAGGTGAAAACGCAGGCCTGGCCTCCGGCACGCGGGAGGGAGCCCCCCCCCGGGTGGCAGGAGACCACACGGTCCCCCTCGAGGCGGCCTGACGCAGGAGCAGCGGGCCGGTCGCGCGTCTCCATCCTCAGACTCCTGTCTGGGCGCAGGGGGACCCGCCACTACTTTCGACTCTGGCCCCAGGTGGCTCCCTTCCTCGCAGTGACTCACCCGCACCACGAAGTCAGACCTCCGGCCGAGCCCCCAGCTTGTGACCCCAGGGGCTCCCTGCGTCAGGAGGCGGGCTGGCCGCCCCTCCCTGCCCTGGACACTCAGCACAGGGTTCTGCGAGCCTGAGTGGCGTAAGCGTGAGGCTCCACCCGTGTCCCTACGCCCCACGCGGGCCGCGCTCTCCGGACTCGCCGGCCCCTCACGCGTCGCCTCAGAGGTGGCTCCCGCCTGGAGGATGACCGCACGGGATGCCCGCTGACCCGTCCCCGCCCGCACCCACCCGTCGGCTCGTCCCGGCCCCGGTCTCCTTGACAGTGAACTTACCCTGCTCTGGAACCCAAGCCCTCGTGCTGCTTCTCTGCTGGAACCCCCTACTCCTGGGGATGCTCCCTGGCGCCCGCCGTGCTGGGGATCACTCCCTCCTCCTCCTCCTCCACGGTGCTGAGAGGTGCTCAGTACGCCCCGTCCTGCAGCTTCCCGCACCACTGCCCCGCCCTTGTCCACCCCTTCACCCTGATGCCTGCGGCTGAGGGAATGGCTCTGGATGGTGGCTCAACTTTGTCTGGTCCTGAGGTGGCACTGCCTGGGGAGAGGCCGCCAGCGGGACCCTTCCCCGTGGGTACATCATTCACATTGGGGCCCAGGAACCCTCTGAAGGGAAGGGGGTTCCCAGTGCAGTCAGCTCAGCTACGTTGATGGCTCAGAAGCTCAGGCCCAACACAGGCCGGGCCAGAATGGGGACATGCCCAGGATAGCACAGGACAGGGCAGGCCCAAGCTCAGAGCAGAGAGAGAGACAAGACAAGAGTAGGCCCAGGACAGGGATAGGACAGGATAGGATGGGGACAGACCCAGGACAGGACGGGGACAGGCTCAGGACAGGGAAAGACCTAAGATAGGACAGGATAGGATGGGGACAGATCTAGGGCAGGACAGGATGGGACAGGCCCAGGACAGGGACAGGCCTGGGACAGGATGGGGACAGGCCCGGGACAGATAAAGACCAAGGACAGGACAGGACAGGACGGGGACAGACCCAGGACAGGGATGGGATTGGGACAGGCCCAGGACAGGGAAAGACCTAGGATAGGACACGACAGGA